GGGGGGCTCTGCCGGGACCCCCAGCGAAAGGCAAAAATGGGCGGAGCTGTGCGCGCGGGCGAGTTCGCTCCTCCTAGCCCGCGCTTTCGCGCGCGCGCGCGCGCACAGACACCCGCGCAAAAAGGACAGAGACCGGCGTTCGGTGACCGGATGGACAAGGGCGAATCAGTCGGCAGTAGCAAGCGGGAATGGCTAGAGGCGTGGCTCGCGTGCTCGAGTATCACGCGCAAAACAGACCGCCGGTACTGGAGTACCAGGAACGGGCCTCGCGTTCCCCGTCCGATCGCAGAGCGGCGCCAGGCGGTGAGCAAGACGAGGGAAGGGGGAGGACGCGGGGCGGCGTGGGACACTTTGCGGGCGGAGGGGGGTCAAGGGAAATGCGGGTATATTGGGTGCAGGTGCGTGCGTGCGCGCGAAAGGGCCCGATGCCCCTGCCTGCGCATGCACACGCTGTGCACAAGGCGCACGAGGCGACCGGTCGAGATTCCCATGCTTGCGAGCGTGCACAGACCGCAGGCACGTGGCGCTCCATCGTCGGCGGTCAATCTAAGGCAGACCTTCCCCCGAAGGGCGCTGGGCCTTGGCGGCTCTTGAGGGGTCGAGCGTCAGGCCCCCGCTCCCAGGGCTCAGCCTCCCGGGGGGGGGGGGGGGGGTGCTTCACTTCGTGTGGCGGCGATCCCGGTTCGGGGCAAAGCGGGTGTGCGCCCGCACGGGCAGAGACCCTGGCGGAGACCACTTGAAGAGGTTGTTGTACTCGGAGGATAGTTCATGTCGAAGGGGCGACTCTTGGGCCCCGGCACTCTCCATGAGCGGCACCAAATTTGACGCCAGCGATGGCTGCGCCCGGAAGAAGGGAACACCGGCTCTGCTCACGACGCTCTTCCGATCTCTGGCGGAGACCACTTGAAGAGGTTGTTGTACTCGGAGGATAGTTCATGTCGAAGGGGCGACTCTTGGGCCCCGGCACTCTCCATGAGCGGCACCAAATTTGACGCCAGCGATGGCTGCGCCCGGAAGAAGGGAACACCGGCTCTGCTGTTGCGCAGGGTGGTGGGGAAGAGCTTGGTGTAGGTGGCCACATCGCGGAAAATGGCACCCGGGGTGGGATGACGGAAGGCCATTGCCACCACCGAGTCAGGATACGCCAGGGCCAGAGGCGTGCAATGTGTCATGGCCAGAGCCAGCGACTCATAGTAAACTGACATGGGGGAGCCGGGGGCGCTGAGCAGGGACTCGATCAAGATCGGAAGAGCGTCGTGCATCGCGGAAAATGGCACCCGGGGTGGGATGACGGAAGGCCATTGCCACCACCGAGTCAGGATACGCCAGGGCCAGAGGCGTGCAATGTGTCATGGCCAGAGCCAGCGACTCATAGTAAACTGACATGGGGGAGCCGGGGGCGCTGAGCAGGGACTCGATCATGCCCGAGCAGGGGAAGGCGCCCATCCGATTGACATCCTTGAAGATGACCTGCCGGCGGGGAGGAGGCAAGTGGGAGACAGGGGCCAGTGGGAGAGCACGGAGATCGGGTCAGCTTTTCGTGGATGTGCCAGGACGCTTTTCCGCCTTCCGGCGAGGAGGCGAGAGAGCCGACGGAACGCACCTCCAGCGCCTTGTCCGGACGCGACATCGACGAGTAGACCTGCGCAAAGAGGAGCAACAGGGACCGCGAGATGGGGAAGGAGGCGTCGTTCAGCGATTGGCGAAGCCCCTCGAGGAAGTGCAGCGGGTGGTGCATCGCCGGAACTGCGTCCATCGGGCCACACAGGCAGCCAAGCGAGCGGGCAAGGACCCGAGCAGGGCGAAAGGGGGAAAAGAAAAGGGGGAGGGGGGAGGGCGGGGGCAAAGGAGCAGCCGGTAAGGAAGTGTCGAGGGACGGAGTGCGATGGGGTGGTCGATCGGGAAACGAACTCTTCGTGTCGCCGCTGCTCTCCTTGGCGCGAATGGAGCGCATGTACGGGAGCATCCAGTGGATACTCATGCTCTCAAGCAGGGCCTTTAGGGTGACGAAGTCCACCGGAATGCGCGGGTCGCTCTCAGAAGGGGTCCTACAAGAGGGAGCGCGCCAGCGGAGGAGAGGCCCGACAGAAGGAATGCCAAAGCCCGGTCAGTGGTGATGGTATTGAAGGAAAAGGGCACCGCGGGCATGACGGCATATCCGAAGGCCGAAACCCGATTTGGGAGGGAGGGGGGGGGGGGGGGGGCTGGCACGCACAGGGTGAAGTACTCGTTCCATAGATTGACCAGGCCGACAAAGTCGCTCGACCGGCTGGCTGACTCCATCATCTGGAGCGCCATGTCCCGGGTGATGGTGGTCCCATGGCGCCGGAGGTGCGCGGCGATCTCCTGCACAGTGGAGAAGGCCCCCTGGCAGCGGGTAAACGAGGTGAAGATCTCGAGCAAGATGGAGGACGGCGGAAGCCCACAGCTGTTGAGCATGCGCAGGAAGAGACCAGACGCGCGGGCCGGGTCTTGTTGCTTTGTGGTTGGGGAGCGAGGGGGAGGCCGGCACCGAGCAGGGCACATTAGCAAGCGGTCTAGCGTGTGCGCGTGTGCGCGTGTGCGCGTGTGGAGGACAAAGGAGGGGAGGCCGGCCCGGGCCCCAGGGTCGATGGATGACGGAGCACGCACCATCGACGCGCACTTGATGGCGTAGTTGAACGAGACGAAGTCCGGGCCGCCCAGGTGCGCGGTGATCAGGTTCAACTGATCCCACAGCACCCACATGGAGTGGTAGTCACGTCGGAGGAGGCAAATGTGCATCAGCAGGGTGAGATTCTTCTCCGAGAGAGCCTTCTCCTTGAGTAGGATGCTGACCACCTGGTCGAAGTCCCGGTTGCGGTAGTACACCTTGGCCAGGGAGGAGGCCGCATCGGTGCGGCTGAAGAAGGGGCCCTCGAACAGTCCTGCGGGGGGTCATTATCGAAAGGCGGGGGGGGGGAGAGGGGCACGCGCGGAGATGCCCGTGAAGCACGGCCGAGGCAACTGGTAAGAGGGAGACAAGAGAAAGAGCGCGGGCCAGCGTGTGCCGATCATGGTCAGGGCCGGCACGCACCATTGCGCTCGGCGTGCTGGAACAGACGCGTCGCCTCGACAACCATGGAGGGATCCTGGAGGGCGGTGGTGCTGTGCAGACGCAGGCGCATCAGCAGGCGGTCCTCGGTCAAGTGGGTTTTCTGAAAGGGAGGGTAAGTGACCACGAGCCGGCAGCCGCCAGATGCGACACATCGCCGAGAAGGCCGGCCAGCGAAGGGGCGGAGGCAGTGGCTGGCTTTCCGCGCGCGGAAGGCGCACACGCCAGGCCAAAGGGCAGGAATGGCAAGACCCACGCACCTCGATAATGCTGTCAATCATGCTGATGAACTCCCGATCATAGAAGTAGGCACTCATCTGGAGGCTCCGGATGAGGACCATGCGGATGCGGCCGCGCAGCGGGGCCAGGGTCGGATCGTGGACCGGATCAACCGACCCGTCCAGCGCCGCCGCCAAATCCAGGTACTCCTGCTGCAGCTGCGCCAGTGAAGCGCTGAACTTGCTGAAAAATTCATTTCGAAGCTGTGTGCGCGCGCGTGCGTGCGTGTGTGTGTGTGTGT